AAGAAAAGCCAAATCCCTTTATTGGAAAGAGGAGAATGGGGAAACAAAATCACTTTACTGGGAAAAGGGAGAGAAATAAGGAGGTAGATAGTGACCTTGTCAGAGGTTGCTGTACATATAAAATATGTATGTACTTGTATGGGTGGGTGAGTGTTTAGGTGTTACTGTATATTTTATATAGAGAGTTTTTATAATATAGTCCTCCCTACCTTTTTTCTTTTGTGCTTAATTGAAGTGGGGAGGAGAGAATTGAGTCCTGACTTGAAGTGAGCCTGGCCAGCCTTATCAGGTCTGTTTTTCTTAGCTACTCTCTCTAGCAGGTGTTTAAATCTTTATTTGCCAGAAACCTTGCTGAGATCCTTTAACTTTCCCTGCCTGTCCCCACCTTTCCCTACACTATCATTCAAGCAGTCCAAAGACTTTCCATATACACTGCTTCAAGAGGAGCACAGCAGCCTGAAATAAATAGGAAAAATTAAGTTCCAATACATATACTTTATACGGACACACATATAGACATAGTCCCTGACTTATGATAGTTCTACTACAATATTGAGTTACATTAGGTTTATCAGCATGCAACCCAAAGTAAATTGAGGAGCACATGCAGATAAAAAACAGTGAAATTATTTGTATGTGTTTGTTACGGCCTCCAACTCAAGAAGTTAGGACCAGAGCCAGGCATGGTGGCCAATCCTTGTAATCTCAGAACTTGAAAGCCTGGCAAGAGACTGTGAGTTGGGGGCCAGCCTGGGTACATAATGAGATCTTGTCTCAAATTTAATTAGTTGAAAAAATTTTGTAAAAAAATAAGAATAGGACAAAAACATGTTTTAAAACCCAGGAAGTAATGAAGATAAAACTTAATGAATTAAAATCAAGAAAATGGTAAATTAATATGCATAAGAGTTGATTCCTACTGGATGTAGCACTGCCCCAGCACTTGGGAGGCTAAGACTGGAAAACCCAAGTTCAAACCCAGCTTGGGCAAGTGATTTAGTGAGACCATGACTCAAAATACAAAATAAAATGGACTAGAGTTGTAGCTAAGTGCAAAGGCACTGGGTTCAGGCTGAAAATGTAGTTCAGTGGCAAGGGCACTTACCTAGCATGCTCAAGCTTCAGTCCCCATCACCACAAACAAACACACAAATGGAAGAAAAAGAGAAAAAAACAAAGGCCGTTTTTTTCCCCCAATCTTCAGTATTGAAAAAAAAAAAAAAAAAAAGCCGATTCTACAAGGAAATAAAAAAGTAGTAAAAACACTGATTCAAAAAAATTAATGAATCAAGAAATGAGGTTGACAGCGGGGCATGGTAGTGCACGCCTGTAATCCCAGCACTTGGGAGGCTGAGGCAGGAGGATCATTGTGAGTTTGAGACCAGCCTGGGCTACAAAGTGAGCTCAAGGCCAGCCTGAACTGCATAGCGAGACCCTTTCTCAAAGACAAAAAAAGAAAGAAAGACGGTAGAATATATTACAATTCAGAAGAGATCTCACTTAATGGCAATTTAAGAATTCTATGGGAATGATACGTGAAATGTTGCTTTACCTCTGAATTAAATAATAAATTTTCTTGGGTATGCTTTACATTTTACCTAAAAATATGTCAATAACAGAGGAAAAAACTTTAAAAATTATCAAATTCTTATCTTTCAAGTGAATTCTGTCCAAGGTGACTTTATCAATTGCTTATTTAGAACTTTTAAGGAACAAATAATTCCCAAGTACCAGCCCACACTGACCTGTTATCATCCCATAAGTACACAAACTCATCTTTTCCTCAGGACTATTGAATTGTCACATATATCCTTCCTTAAAAATCTCTTGCCCTACATCTTTACATGGTTACCTCCGTTTTATCATTCGGATTCTCTCTCTAATATCCCATCTCTAAAGCCCTCCCCTCCACCCCAGTTAAAGCACTATGCTGGTCAGGCCATCACATTACTTTTGTTATTTGTCTCTGAAAGTGAATTTCTTGCATTGATTCATTATTATTTTGTCATCACCCACAACAATGCCAAGCACGAAATCAGAATACATAGATACTATGGACTGCCTGTCTCACTCTCACAGACTCTCCCAGGTCATAGGAAAGGACATAAGAAGCTGTCCCAGATGTTTTTGTAGAGCTTCATAACTACAGTACAGGAGGCTGGGGATTTAGCTCAGCGGCAAAAGCGCCTGCCTGGCAAGCGCAAGGTCGTGAGTTTGGTTCCCGGTACCGGAGAAAAAAAAACAAAACAAACAAACAAACAAAAAAACCAAACATAACTACAGTACAAAGAAAGAAAACTGATCAGTACTTACTTCCATGACACCATGCTCCCTCTCCCAAAATCAACCCCCATTCAAGAGAGAAAATACCAAGACACAGAGAAAATTATGAAAAGCCTGGAGGTGGATATGAGCTCTTTTGAACTAGTTAGCAGGCTTTTGTCTGGGCAGGAGTCAGCCAGGCTGGAAGGGAAAGAAGGGAACTGTTGAAGTTGAGCTCTTGCTTCTCCCCGCCCCGGCTTTGAGACTTAACAATCTGTTTCTGCATCTGAAGCGACTCAGGAATCTGGGGTCTTCAATAGTAAAATCAGGACCGTGCAGAGGAACCTGTGAGGATTAGAGCAGAACAAGTGGGGCCTGAGCTCTGAAGGATGCCCCGCCTCCTACCAGTCTCCAGGGCTAGTCAATTACAATTAGAGATATGTTTCCCCCAAAGCTCTCTGTTCTTGGTGAGAACAGAGATGGTGTGTGATGATAGTCAATGGTATTGATACCCATATACACATGGGGTAGGGACTTTCCAGGTAGAACACTCAAAGCTGGGGCAGACAGTGAAGCACTGATTAAAGGAGTCTTTTTATCCAGGTGTAGTGGTGCACACTTGTAATCCCAGCAATAATGGAGATTAGGCAGAAGGATCACCAGTTCAAATCCTAGGGCAATTTAGCCACACCCTGTCTCAAAATAAAAAATAAAATGGGCTGGGGATATAGCTCAATGATAGAATGCCCCCTAGTTTTGATTCCCAGTATTACAATCAATCAATCAATCACTGAGACATTTGTGAGATGTAACAATGGCCTGAGGTTTTCTGGTGCCTATGTTTCTTCTTCATCTTCCTCCCACTACCTAGGCTCTTTGGGATCAGCTGGGTTGGAGGCCTAGCCTCAGATCCATGTTGCATTTTACAGACACTAATGTTATACCAAACATTTTGCTAAGCAACAGCCTTATGAATGACCGTCGCAGATGTTTGCTACTTCCTCTTATCTATGCCAAGATAGACTAGTAGAACGTGACTCTTTTCTTAGCAGAGGAGATCTTGGCAGGAAAAAGGATTTAGTTAGAATTTCAGTGAAATACACGAAGTTTAAGCAAACTTGCACAAAATACTTACTGTTCCATATGAAATGGACACTAGTTTCTGTTTACTTCTAGGGCATAGCACACATGCATGGGTGCCCTTAGTTAAAAAGAAAAAGTGCTTCAACGTGGAATGCTTTTTTGCCTTCATAGCACTAACAACTACCACACATGCAACATGTAAGATCTTTAAGTGGGCGACCATTGGAAATCCAAGATTATATCCTCTTGGCTGGTCTGAGAACTACGAACAGCAAAGGTAAAGAAAGAGAAGAAGGAGGAGAAAACAATCAAGGAATAGGAAAAGAGAAACGGAGAGCCAGAATCCTAATATTTAGAGCAAATGACTTTCTCGAGCAACATCACTAATTCAAAGCAGATTCTTACTACAGATCTAGTTCTTGGTGGGAGATCCTAAAGTGGATACTGCAATCTTGAACTTACAAAGGTGATAATATTACATTGCCATTATTTTTTTTCCTGAGATGGCAACTAAGTATATGTTACCCAAAGCAGTACTGGAATGGCGGGAGAAGAGTGAGTGTGAAAAATAGGTCGCTGTGGGACATTAATATGCCATGGGAGATGACATAGATGCGTGATGGAAGCCAGTTGCAGTAGAGTATACTTGTGATCCTAGGAGCTCGGGAGGCTAAGGCAGGAAGATAAGCATTTCAAAATAGTCAGGGTAACTTAGCCAGACCCTGTCTCAACATTTAAAATGATAAAATACAAAAAGCACTTCCTGAGTTCAACCCCAAGTTAAAAAAAAGGGGGGGGGGCTGGGGATTTAGCTCAGTGGCAAAAGCGCCTGCCTGGCAAGCGCAAGGTCGTGAGTTTGGTTCCTGGTACCGGAGAAAAACCAAAAAAAAAAAAAAAGTAACAAGAGATTTTAGGGGACAATATGTGTAGGGCGGGACAAATGGGAATTGGAAGCTGCCCTAGGAAACTTAAAATGGGCAATTTGTGGAGACGAACTTACCTCTTCTCTGAGAATGGCCACACTTGGGAAGTTTGGAAGTTTTGTTGACACATGAGAGCCCCTTGGTGACTTGACCTGTTACTATATGGTCAGATTTCCATCTACTCTGCTTATTGTGATTCGATGATCCACCAGATGTTGACAAGAGGTTATCTATAATCAGTGATTTTCAGCCATTTTTACTTTTTTTTAGTAATTGATTTAATATTTTAAATTGAAAATGTATCATTAAGAAAATAGTAATAAAACAATTTCTCTTTTTTGTTTTCATGTTTTGTTTTGTTTGGGTTTGTTTGGTTTGGTTTGGTTTTGAGACAGGGTCTCACTATGCAGTTCAGGCTGACCTTGAACTCACTATGTAGCCCAGGCTGGTCTCAAACTCACTGCAATCCTCCTGCCTCAGCCTCCTGAGGGGTGGGATTACATGGATGAACCACACCCAACCAATGAAACTTTTTCTATCTGGAGAAAAATGTGACCAGTTACAGTCCCCATCCCTAGATCACAATCCCAGGAAGCTCCTATCAGGCCTTCATCACCATCTCCCTCACCAAGGAGCTGGTGCCTGTGTGAGGCTGACATGGTAAACAGCCCTCATTCAAGAAGAACAATGGTTGCCAGGGGGTGTCACCTGAGAGTGTGGCCAATTCTGTCCTATCTCAGGGGATGCATATCTGGCCCGACCCTTTCCCCCAAACATTATATTTTTGTCTCCAGGGAAAGCTCTGAACACTCAAGTGGTATGGAACTCAGTTCCTGGACACCAGGCAAAAGGCTCCAGTGGAACCACAGCTGCAGTTAAGGTGAGGCCTTTCCTGTGGAATGGTTGCCACTTAAAAGAAAACACCACTTTTTTATATATATATACAAGGTCTCACTATGTAGTTCAGGCTGGCCTTGAATTCACTGTGTAGCTCAGGCTGGCCTCGAACTCACAGTGATCTTTCTGCCTCAACCTTCCAAGTGCAGGGATTATAGATGTGTACCACCACACCCAGCCAAACCTCGCTTTTTTAATCTGTTTACTTCTTGCCTCTTCAGAATCTCTTGGGGCCTGGAAGCCTCCTGAGAGAAAGGGAGAGTGTCTCAGACCTCTGACTCCATCCCATTCATACCCTACTGTAGGTCTTCATTAAGTGACTTAATGATGCCCATGTCTGTGTTTTGTTCAGCGATTCATCCAGAGAGACAAAAGATAAAGATGTGAAAAGGAGTCAGGAATGGTGAATATACAACCAAAAGGGGTCTAGATTCCAGGTTATGGAGGTAAGGGCACCCCTGTACTCAAGTTGCTCCCATAGCCCCTGATCAGCAGCCCTGGAAATACAGAGAGGACAGTCTCTGGAATTGGGCAGAAAACCCTGTGGGGAAGTAAGAAATATCACCCTTGGAAATAAGAGTGGAAGTTCACATTTGGAAAGAATAAAATGCCCCACTATTTTCTTAGAGCTAATTGTGTTCAGATCCCATTGAGGAGCATACAGAGAGATCAGGAAGAGGGTGGTTCACACTTGACCAGAGATTCCTGTCTCACAGAACTCCTGCCTTCTTGTGAGCCCAATCAAAATCTGTATCAAGCTTAACAATTAATGTTAGAAGCAGTGGGCACTCTAGAGGGGCTGACCTTGGAAGAAAGAAGTCAAAGCTTCAGATCTCTCATTCTAGAGCAGTGGTGGTAACCTAATGCATGTGTGTTACTGTTATCTTTTAAGACAAAAGATGTTATTAATGTATGAGGTTTTTTTTCTAAATTAAAACCTCAGTATTCAGGTTTAATTGCAGTGTTGACACTTTGTGATAAATAAGTGGGTTTCAGGTTGCATTGTGGGCCATTCATCTCTAAAAGGTTCTAGAACATTCCACAATGTTTAATGTAGGATATACAGAGAAAAATCTAGACAATGTCTTCCAGGCTCCACGAAATCAAAAGGGTGAAAGAGTTGTGAGGCTGTTCCATGATTCTTATACCCCAGATCAGTGAAGATCAAGCCTGTCAACCCCTGACTTCTCTCCCCATCACCCCACATTGCCTCCTTGAGGATGACATCTGGTTCAAATGTGCACATGAGAATAGTTCCCCATAATGTATCTCATAACTGCTGTTGGAACGGAACCTACCATTCACCTCACTATTAATGACAGCCAGTCAGGGAGAAAAGAGGCGGGCAGTGAAGGTGAGGAAAGCTCCCAAAGTTTAATTAAATCATGTCGCATAGGAGGCGGGAAATGAGGGGATGGAGAAGGAGACTTGCAGGCAAGAGAGTGGCAGCCCTGGCTTTGTGATTAAGAGCACCCACACATGTTTCTGTCCCTGTGTTTCTCTCAGGTGGGAAATATATTATTCCCTTGCAAAAGAGAAAAATTGTTAAAGACTCCAAGAATACGCATCTAAGAACCCCAGGTTCAGAATCACTGGATTTGCAAACTACACTGATTCGATGATAATGTCTTTCACCTGCAAGTTATAACTATGAGAGAAGTTTGTCTTTGTAATCACAGGCTCCTTGTATTATTATCAAAAACCTTTAGCAGCGCATACTTCACAGACATCTGAGTGTACATCCAAGATCTCAGATTGAGGCATAGCTGGACACCTCCTGGCAAAGGCATCATGCAAATCTTCCCATGGGGACTTGTCATAGCAGCAGCGGTGGTGCTCCCAGCCTTTTACTTCATTACGGAAAACCCTTTTGACAGTACGAGTTTCCTGTCTTTGGTAAGTACCAAAAATTTAAGGTAGGGCCAAGTTAAAATCCTTACACTGAAAGATGACATTATCTTGAGGGTCATCCATGTGAAACTGTCACAAATACTGTAGACATCCAAAGAAGGAAGACAAGAGTGCTTCTGTAATCTATGTATCCTTTTCCTTTGGGGAATTCAGTAAGGGTGGTGACCCTCTAGAACAGTGAAAATTCAGAGCTGGAAAGGAATAACATTAAATGCTTTGGCAGAATTGGCCCTTATAGCAATTTATAAGACAGAAAATATTCCTTGTTTTAGGAGTTGCCCACTTTAAAAAAATATCCCTTGGTTTTCAAAGTTATACATTTTTTTTTCTTCTTTTGTCTTTTTGAGACAGGGTCTTGCTGTGCAGTTCAGGCTGGCCTTGAGCTCACTTTGTAGCCCAGGTTGGTCTCAAACTCGCAATGATCCTCCTGGCTCAGCCTCCCCAGTGCTGGGATTACAGGTGTGCACCACCATGCCTGGCAAAGTTATACATTTTCATCTTTGTTATTTCTCGAAATCCTGAGAGGTTAAGTCATTTCTACAAGCCCGAAAAAACTCTTTAAGAAGTAGAGAAACTTTCACCAGAACACAGAAAAAGGCAAAAAAGAGAAAGAGGGGGTGAATGAATAGGAAAGATTTGTTTTGGACACCAGGGTGGTATTACCTGGCCCCCAGTATCTCTCACACTTAACATGTGTGATGTCCTTCATGGAATTAATGACGCATATTAGACTGTAATCATAGGGATAATTGAGGGTGAAGAATGACATTTTTTTTCCCTGCATGTTACCAGAGAGGTGGAAGAATTTCAGCTCCCTCTACCCAGGATCCATACTGTATACAGGAACCCCAAGGACAGAAGACAAGAAAACTTGAATTGAGCCTGAGCAACCTGCCTGTGTGCTGGAGATGATTTCATTATGTCATGCAAAGGGGATCATCCAGCCATTATTCCCAGAGGTGATGAATCATAGAACTGAAACTCATTCTTTTCTCAGGAGGAAAAGAAGATGGTAGCTTGGCAGAGAGCCCGGATGCAGATCAACCCTGGCATAACAGAACACCTCAGAAACTTCAAAGACATGCAGAGAAACTCAGAGCCACTCAAAAATGTGAACACTCAGATCTTGATTGGAGTCCCTCCCGTGGAAAAAAGTGAGTGTCCACAAGCACCCCGGACACCCAGGAGAGGCAAGGGTAGCGAGGGAAGGCAGGTGGGAAGAAAGGGAACACACCAGGATTTCAGATTGCAACAGACACTGAGGCTGAGTCCATTTATCTCCCATTCCTTCTGCTGTTGAGACCAGGGAGCCACTGAGAAAAGTCCAGGAAGATGGGAAGAGGGATTAAGTAACAGAGAAAGAAGTCAGGTAGCAACACACAGTCTGGAAAGCAGTCTGTTAGGGTTAAGTGGGTTCTAGAGAGGGACTTCCTCCTCAAACTGCAGTTCACGAAAGGCGGCAGCAGCATCTGGTCGTTTGTTAGAAATATAGAATCAGCCAGGAGTGGTGGCAACAGACTATAATCCTAGCTACTCAGGAGGCTGAGGCAGAAGGATCTGAAGTTCAAGACTAACCTGAGCAATTTAATAGGACTTGCCTCAAAATAAAAATTCAAGAAGGGCTGAGGATATAGTTCGGTGGTACAGTACTTGTCTGACACGCTCAATCCCCAATACCACAAAGGAAAGAAACAGTAGAAGGAGAGACAGAGAGAGAGAGAGAGAGAGAGAGAGAGAGAGAGAGAGAGAGAGACAGAGGAGACAGAGACAGAGACAGAGACACAGAAAGAGGGAAACACAGAGAGAGAGAGAATCCTAGGCCAAACCTTGACCTACAAAATAAGAATTTTCACTTTGAGTGTAGCCCAAGAAAATGGTGCACACATAGAAGTTTGGGGTCTGTACAGTACTTTCATAGATATGAAGCCTAGGACATAATCCTGGAAAGTAGAGCAGAGTTAGACATGGTGGTGCATGTCTGTAATCCCAGCACTCGGGCCGAGGAGGACTGCTGCGAGTTCAAGGCCACCCATAGCAAGACCCTGTGTCAAAAATCAAACCAAAGCAAAGCAAAACTAAACAGCAGAGCAGGACTCTGACAAGATTCAGGTCAGCAAAATCATCTCAATATTTTTTAGACTCTCCCTGTGGTAGAGACCTTGTCCCCCCATCCTTGTATGAACTATCTCTGTTTGTAGGAAATGAACACATTCTCACTGGAAACCATTTCCACTCAATACATTACAGTATATACTGATACAGAGTGAAAAATGAAAGTTCCTTTTTCCTTTTTCTTCCCTGTTACTCTCCCCTCCCCCAGAAGTCTGATATCTTCTGCCGTTCACATATATACCATATCTGTGGGATTTAAGAAGATCATTTTATATGCACTGTTCTAAGGTTTGCTTTTTTTCATTCTTCAATATGTATGTCTTGGAGAGTCTTCTCTTGCTGAATTTTTTTTTTCCTTTTTGTCTTTTTGAGACAGAGTCTCACTATGTAGTTCAGGCTGGTCTTGAACTCACTTTGTAGCCCAGGCTGGCCTCGAACTCACAATGATCCTCCTGCCTCAGCCTCCCGAGTGCTGGGATTACAGGCATGCACCACTGTGCCCAGCTTGTTTAATTCTTTAACTGCTGGCATCCACATAATATAGATGAAAATGGTTAGTTAATTATTCCTTATGGATGAGCGCTCAGTTATTTCCAACTTCTTCTATAATAAAAAGTCACAAATTTTGCTCATATGTAAAAATATTTCTATGGGAAGTATACTCGGATATGAAGCTAATGGGTCTGAGAGCATGTATACTTCAGATTTTAATCAATATTTCCAAACTGCAAAGACGAAAGGCTATTACCGGTTGGGGATAAAGGACAGTGGCACAGCGCCTGCCTGGCAAGAACAAGGTCTTGTATCAATTCCCAGTACCAAAAAAAAAAAGCCACTACTTTATGAGTGTCTCACTGGTACTGTTTTTTCTGTCAATTTGAAATACAGGAAAAAATTATTTTAGGACATCTGTTGTTACCCAGTAGACCTGTTTATTACTAATGGTTGAACATTTTTTTTATAAATTTAAAGACATTTTTGTGTATTCTATGAATTTCCAGTTTCTATTCTTTGGTCATTTCCTACTGGATTGATTGTTCTTATTATTGATTGATAGGAATTATTTATATATTGAAAATATTTGTGCCTTTTTCTCTTTTTTTTTTTTCAGACAGAGTCTTGCTATGTAGTTCAGCCTGGCCTGGACTCTGTGTAAATCAAGCTGGCTTCAAACTCACAGCAATCCTCCTGCCTCAGCCTCCCAAGTGCTGGGATTACACCACGCCCAGCTTTGTACCTTGTTAAATAACTACTTCTTTGCTACTCTTGTCTATTCATGATTCTTTTGTGTTTGTTTAAGACAGGATCTCACCATGTAGTGCAGGCTGGCCTTGAACTAACTTATGTAGCCTAGGCTGGACTCAAACTCAAGATGATCCTCCCACCTCAACCTCCTAAGTGCTGGGGTTATGAGCATAGGCTACCACACCCAGCTCTTTTGAACATTTTAAAATCTTATATCAAACCTGGGTTGTGTGTATTGCTTGAGGAATAACTTACGCTCCACAGATTATTTTTGAAAAACTTTTATATGTTCTTTTGATATTCTTATGATTTTGCTTTTGCAAATATAAATATTTCACATAGGTAAACACACCACATTCACTGGTCAGCGTCCAAGTTACTTGACGTACCACAACATTTAACCCATTAGGTCATCCTCTTTTTTCAACATCCCTTCAATTGCTTCTAGGATTCCAAACTCTTCTGGTTTTCCTCCAGCTTTACCAGTAGATACTCAGTCTAATTTTCTGTTTTATCTTCTCTTCAACCTGTAAATGCTGACTTACCACAAGGGGCCTTATCTAGACTCAATATCTCGGGGACCTTATCTAATCTAATTACTGCCCACATGCTAACTAGAGCTTGCAGCCCTGTGCGCCAGTGATGGGCATCCCTTGCCCATCACTGATACCCTGCTAGCATCTGTTACAGAGGTTAATGGCTAGAGAACATGTGGTCTTCTCTTTGTCCACTCAATCAGGACTTTGCAACCCCCCTTGCTGAGCCAGCTCCACGTAGGACTGGGTGCTCTCCTGAAGTCTGCGACACCCATTTTATTTCATCACCATCAGCTGCAATGGGATTAACTAAGGAAAAAAAAAAAAAACCCTGGAACAGAATTATCCTTTTCTGACTTTAAGAACTCAGAGGACCAAAATTAATTGTTTATTTTATCAATGAAATAAGTTCAGGAGCATTTAAGTTTGTGGGTAAAGTACTGCCCTATCTCTTCTAGGGGCATTGTTCTATCTATCTGCTATAGCACCCACCTGGCAGCCTCTTTATCCCCGAGCTCTCCTTCAGGAAGCCAAACATAGAGACTTCTCCTGGTGACAAATGCCACGGCCTTCTATGCATCTCCTTTTTTCCTCTGTTGCCTAGAGGTCTTAGCTTCCATTCTGACATCTGCTCTAGCCCAAGGAGGCACACCTATGAGCTTCCCCTGGCAGAAAGTCTACTTTATTTAGATAGAAGCCCTTAGGACTTTCACCTGAGAATGGACGTTGCTACCAGCAGCTCCTTCATGGCCATTAGCCCAGTGGTTTTGGAAAGGCTTCTATAATCTTAATTATCCAGGTGATCACCTCAGGGCCCACTCTTCTTCTTTGAATTTGGTGCCTTTGAACTTAGAATTTCTGAGAGGCTTTTTGTAGAAAAAAATGCGCCCATGCAGTTGTTTCCTCTTAGGTGTCATTTGAACAATGGATTCCTCCATCAGTCTTGTCCCATATTCTATCTTTTAGGAATTCTTCAAATGTGGTGGTTCTTTCAGGGCAATGTCTCTGGGGTTTTCAGTGGGATTTGGGGTGAAAAGGGACATACATATAAAAGCTTAGTTTGTCATCTTTATCCGTCACCCTACAGTAGTTTTAATTTTAAAAACCTCTCAGGGGCTGGGGATTTAGCTCAGCGGCACAGCACCTGCCTGGCAAGCACAAGGTCGTGAGTTCAATTCCCGGTATGGGAGAAAAACCAAACCAAACCAAAACAAACCAAAACAAAACAAAACAAAAAAACCTCTCAACTGTGACCAGGTAATAATTCCTAATATGGTTCATACTCAGTGCTGGGGGAGAAAATGCACAATAAGCAGAGCCTGGAGAACCCTCTGCGTGTATCATCATCTCCCTTAGCAACTATGTTTTCCATTTCTCTAAACTGATAAAGTTCCTGTTTTCTCCCCATCCTAGAACTGCTGACCATAGGGATTTCCTCGGTGCAGCATCCCCAAGGGAGCTACGTCTTGGACACCCTACAATCTCTCTTCTTTGCTTCTTCCTCACCTGAGCAGAAACTCTTCGTCGTTCTAATACACCTGGCAAGTCCCAGCTCCACGTGGCTTGGTCAAATGACCTCCAACATCTCAACCCTCTTTAAATCATACATCCAAGCCAGACAGCTACTTGTAATCAACACACCTCAGAAAAGCTATCTTCCTCTGAAGAAACTTCCGGGACCGTTTAGCGACAGCCCCGCCTTTGTAGCCTTTTACTCCAAGCAGAACATGGATTATGCCTTCCTCATGAACTTTGCTGCCAACTACTCTGACTACTTCTTGATGATTGAAGATGATGTGAAATGTCTCCCTGGATTTGTCACCCAGATTGTTAGCATACTGTCTGCCTGGGAGAGAAGGCTTTGGGTGACTCTGGAGTTCTGTCCCCTGGGCTTCATTGGAAAACTCTTTCACACTAGAGACCTCCCTTACTTTGTTCATTTCCTTCTCCTTTTTTACCAAGAAATGCCTTGTGATTACCTCCTTTCCCATTTTCTTAACCTTCTCAAGCAAAACCCAATCCAATTCTCCCCCTCCCTCTTCCAGCATGTAGACAAATTCAATAGCTTCAAAGAAGTTGAGGAAAATATTGGCTACCCCAGCAATCCTGCTGCCACCCTTTATACTAACCTGAATGTCACCGATAACTCTAACCTCATGAGTGCCTACAGCTTGGATAACAGTTACTTTTATATTGAGGAGGCAAAGGCTGGCAGCTATCTGACTGTGTTTTTGCACATACCTGCCATAGTCTTCCATGTTCAAGTGCTCACAGGCTCTGAACTAAAAGAGGAGAATCAACTGGAAGAGGGACAAGTAGAACTGGGATATGATTCTACTAATAGGGTCACTGACTGTGATGACTATGTTCTCCTGGGGATGCTAATAAATGGCACCCTGAATAAGCATGTATTATCTGAAGACTCAGGGAAGAAGGTAAAATGTGTGAGACTATTTGTAACAGCTACTGTGTCCTCTGGATTAATAGTGAGGCACATCAACCTCTGGGTTAGATAAAGTTTAAGTAGTATAAAGATAAGCCACTGGAAATTCTAGATTGGAGGGAGAATCTACAGTGTTAACAAAACCTAAGTCTTGAAACTGTGAGGAAAATCTCTTTACTGGGCCCTTTCAAGATTCTTAATACATTCTGTTGAAAGGCAGAGCAAAAGTAACATCCTCTTGGTCCCAGAGACTTATGAGTGGAAGGAGGAAGTTTATTAAAATTTTTTGATGTTCTGTCCCAAAAGCGTCTACCATCCAAAATTTTTTCTTCGGAACAACAATACTAGACTTCTAAAAATAACAAGAATAGGTGAGTGAGACTAAGGAATGCTGAGATCCTGACTTCAACAACACATGAGAGAAAACAAAGGCTCCTTCCAGCAAAGAAATGGAGTCATTAAAGGCTGGACTTCTATGTGAAAGGGAAAAGTAAATTGGTGAGGAACAGCACTCTTTCCTCTGTGGTCTCTTTTTCCATTATAAAATACATTCAACAAACATGGAGCACCATACATGGTAGGCAGAGTCCTCTGTACATGATCACACAACACACCAAGGGACTCCTTTTTAAGTCACATTACAATCATTAAAAACAATTTACTATGATTTCTGTAGCTCCTTTCTCCAACACAGTTTCACCTGGCCGTGAGGCTGGAACTCGATTTGTTCAGTCTACAACACTCCGTGTTCCTCCTGCTGGCTTGAATTTGGCTCCTTGACCTCCTGCCAACTTGAACTCAGTTCTGCCTCACCCTGACACTGGGAGCTGCTGGGTGGAGCCAGCCCACAGCTGGACTGATTTCCCAACTCAGTTGGCTCCTCTCCAAGATGGCTTCCAGCCAGGCATCCTCTCCTGAAGGACAGCTGAATCCAAATAACTCACGAGCTACTGAAGTCTGCTGGGTCCACTGCTCCATTCCAATGGGGCACTTCTCCACGGAGGCCTCTGGGTCACCAGTAGTCACTGGGAGTCTTCGGGTTTGAGCTGGGCCTCCCATGAAGTGAGTCAGGGCTCAGGGAGAATGTGCCACTTCCTGCTGCCTTCTTCTTCACTGAAGTCTGTCTCTTTGCTTTCCCCGTGGGCTTCAGTTCTCAAGTGAGATCCTTGATGGATCCCAGGGACCCACTTCCCTCCTCCTTCTCTTTTCACATTGCTATATGCCAGTGTCTGGACATCAAATCTCAGAGAGGCTGTTTCTCTGCTGTTTACCACTCTGACATTTTCCCAGAAGTCTCAAATCTTCATGTGTCAACACAGTCTTATCTGTGGGACTATAGGTAACTTGGATAGCTATGGCAGGGACTACTTTGGACATTTTATTAATATCTTTACCTCATTTGACTATGAGATCTTCTTTATTCTAAGAAAAATCTGAGCTCAACTGATGTGTGGTATCTGAGGATGGGGTTTTCCTTAGTTTGAAAACTATAATACCTGAAGTCAGAAAAAAAAAGAAAAAGGAAAGAATCACTTTAAGAGAATACTTGAAAAAGCTAAAATCGAAAGCCAGACAATGTAGTTGAAGGAGTAGTAATCAAAGTGATGAGAAAGAGCTGGGGAATTTGGAAACAGGATAATGAAATGGAAATACAAATGGAAGATAGAAGCTTTGGAGGCATCAGATACAGAAGAATCAGGCAAGCCAAGAAAGTATGCTGGTGATATTTCCCTACTGTGGCCAGCATGGCTGCCTGACAGACCCAGGGCTCTTCATCAGGTCCACCTCAGTGTTGGCACTAAGGTGATGCTTCTCAAGACCATGATTGGCCACAGCAGGATCATACACCAGACCTGCCAAGATAAGGAATTCCTCTGACTTTCTCTCTTTCTTTCTTCCTTCCTTCCTTCCTTCCTTCCTTCCTTCCTTCTTTTTCTTTCTTTCTTTCTTTCTTTCTTTCTTTCTTTCTTTCTTTCTTTCTTTCTTTCTTTCTTTCTTTCTTTCTTTCTTTCTTTCTTTTGACACAGGTTCTCTCTATGTTATTCAAGTGGCTTGAACTCACTATATAGCCCAGGCTGGCCTTGAACTCACAACAATCCTCCTGCCTCAGCCACCCGAGTGCTGGGATTGTAGATGTGCACACTATGCCTTGCTTCTCCTCTAACTTTAAGGACTCCCTCCCAGCCCGTGCAGAACAGTCTTGGAACCTGTTTTAGACTACAGTCCTAGGAACTACAGTCCTAGACTTTCCTTAGGCAACCTTCCGTTCTTTGTTCCCTTCCATGGTTGTCTCAGCTTCACCATAATCCAAAGCCTCTCCCTGCCTGCTGCTTCCCTTCCCACTAATAAGTCTATGACTAGTCTTGTTTTGGTGGCAACTTCTTGCAAAGTATGAGCTAATGCAAGTTGTACCAGGAGTGGTCTGAGAAAGCAGACAATGAGATGAGGACTTAGGCCTCGCTTCCTCATAACCAGGGAGTTCTGGAAATAGAGGTTAAAATGCATTAATCCAATAAAGAGTCACAATCCCTGCTTACTTCCTGGACCTGAGCCAATTTTTAGATCCATACTCATTGAAGATGTGACCATCCTTAGAAGATCCTTACAAGAAAAGAGCAGGCAATCCTGATATTATAGCAATTCTCTCCACCTTTTCCCCAAGTGACCAGCAGCCATTCATGTGAGTGACCATCCAGCTGGGGAGGAGGAATGCCCGGACATTTTCATGACTTTTAGACACAAGATCTGAGTTGATGCTAATATTTAGAGATTCAGCTTCCTGTTGAGTGAGAGCATAACATGGTCAGGTTATAAATGGAGTCTTTTAAAAAATAATAAATAAAAATAAATGGAGTCTTTGCCAAAGTCATACTTCCCACCAGAAAACTGTCCACAGAGCCATCCAGTGGTCCTTACCTGTATAACTGGAATTAATGTATTCAACAGTTGAAGAAACCCTCATAGGACCCTTGGCCTTTGGGATAAGAGCTATGGTAGTGGGGAAGACCATACAGGGGACAATTGAGTCTCTGAAACTGACACCACATCTGGCTAAGACAGTAAGTAAATAAAGAAGACCCTAAATTAGAGGATGATGGCACAGATTAGTGGCATTAGTGGCATACACCATCCCTGTATCTGTTTATGACAAAATCTGGGGATCAGGGGGGTTTTTTGTTTTGTTTTGTTCTTGAGACAGGGTTTCGCTATACAGTTCAGATTGGTCTGTGTAGCCCAGGCTGGCCTCGAACTCACAGAGATCCTCTTGTCTCAGCCTCCTTAGTGCTTGGATTATGGGCATGTGCCACCATGCATGCCCAGCATATGACAAAATCTGTTTTATTCATCACTCTGGGTGCTGCAGAAAACAGATGGATCCTGACATGATCATAGACAATCACAAACATTGCAATTAGTAGTCCTGATCACAGCTGTCATCCCAGACATAGTATCATTGCTAAAGCAGATCAATAAACCCGTGGGTATATGTTGTGCAGCCATTGATTTAGTAAATGCATTTTCTCAATTCTAATTGCAAAAGATCAGAAGTAGATCACATTCGTGAGAGATGACAAATATCATTTGTATTTTGTTACAACCGTATTCCCTCCGCTTCACTTTGTCAAAGTGCAATCCAAAGACATCTGGGTGCCCCGGGCATCCCAGAGAGCATCGTGCCTATCCAGGACATTGATGGCACCATGCTGATGAGGCAGAACAAGTGAGTAGCTTAGATGCTAGAGGCCTTAGTGAGAGGCTAAAAGATGAATCCTGCAAAGATTCTGTGAAGTTTTTAGGAGTGAGAGGAAAGCTGACATAGTACTTTTAAAATAAAGGACAGTTGCTACATTTTGTATCCCTTGCTAGGAGAAAGGAAATCCAGTGTCTTGTAGGCTTTCTACTTTTCTAGAAGCAACAGTCATCACACTCCGGAATAGTACTCCAGCTTATTCTTCAGGTGATACTGAAAGCTGCTGGCTTAAAGTGAGTTGTGGAGCAAGAGAAATCTTTGCAGCAGGTCCAGACTACAGGGCAAGAAGCCTTGCCACACGGGCCGTGCACACCAACAGGTCCAATGTTTTCGACGGCCATAGTGATGGGGAAAATGCAGAGCAGAGTTTATGACAAGCCCCAGTGGCAATATCATAACATAGCCTTCCCGGATTCGGGAGCAAGCCCATCTCATCTACAACTGAGACATATATAGTAGGTCTTTTGAAACACAGGTCTTGGTATGTGACTGAGACCTCGCAGAGACAGAGTGCTTCAGCACAGAGCATACAGTGACTGTGCATCTGGAACTTCCTGTGATAAGCTGAATTCTGTCACAAAGTCAGACAGGCCTAGTCACAGTCCATCAAAGGATAAAAATGATACATGTGAGATCAAGCCCAAGCAGGGCGGACTGCAGAAGTTACATGAGAAGAATCTGGACTTCTGTGTCACCCAACAGAGTTGCACCACAACTTCCCCCAAGCTCACTCTTTAGCCTTCTGGAGGCCCATATGACCAGCTAGGGGAAAAGATGCAATCGTAATGTACATATAGGTCTGCTCAATATGTGAGTAAATCCAAAAGTGGATAATGGCTGTCACATTCAGAGGTGAATTTGACAGTAGACAAGGATAATCTTCCCAATGGGCAGAGCTCTGAACCAAAGGTCTGGCTGTCTGACAGGGCCCAGAAGACCAAAGATAAGAAGGACTGGGATGGAAGACTGCAGAAAGGCATATTAGCTTGGGCACAAAATGTGAATATTTTTGTATCACACATTAATACCCATTGAAAGTATCCCCATGGAAAAGGCCCTAAACAACCAAGTAGACAAGTGACTCAGCCAATTGATTTCAGCCAGTCCAACAGTGGTACACCTGGCATATAATATGAGTGGTTATGGTGGCAGACATAGAGGACACATAGGGGCTTAACAGCATAAACTCTCATGAGGACTGCCTTTGAATAGCTAATCTGTCTGCCACAGACACTAATGTCATTCACCAGGATGGCCCCATTCCTTATGTTGACTAACCAGACATGTAGTCCTTCCATCCTTAATGGCCTTCTTCACAAAAAGAGATGTTTATTTTGGGCATGGTTCATCCTTTCCAACCCGCAGAATCCCAGCCAGCACCACTATGTAGAGCTTTATAAAGTGTCTGATCATTAGTCATGAAAACCCACACAACATAGCATCCAACCAAGAGACCCACTTCCCAGCAAAGGAGGTACATAAGTGGACATTAACTATAGGATCTACTGGTTGTACTGTATAACACAATGTCCAGAAGCAGCTGGCCTCATAGAA